GTTTTTGTTATTTTGTAATTTTAAAACTGTTGGGAAGCCATTCCTCAGCTCTGTAACAGAACTACTAAGATCTGGCAATGCCCTCCCTGCACTTACATTATACAAAGCCTTATCCACTGTGTGTGCCTGTGCCACTTGCCTTTAAGTTGAATAATTTGATTTGATTGATTTATATTGTTTTTTCTTTAATTTGTTTGTTAAATGCATTTGATAGCAACATAAACCAAGCAGTTTAACCAAAAAAACAAACAAAACGGTCCTCTACACTCAGATTCATTTTGATTCTCAATTGTTATTTTTTACCAGTTTTCATACTTACCCACCACGGAGATACACACGCTCAGATGTCCATATAAGCAACATTTTGGTTGACTAGCCAGTCTGATTGTGATTCTTTGGGATGTGAATATCATCAAGATGATTTACCTCTACTCATGTGTGGATTTTTTAAACTGGGTGTTCAGACCTGTAGTCTCTTCTGACTTTGTTCTTTCCAGTATAGAGGCTTCGACAGGAAACTCAGGCAGGGTGATCAACCTGTGGTGGAGTACATTACTGACATCCACCTGTTCCAATCCAATCCAATGCAATTTTATTTGTTAAGCACTTAAAAACAACCACAGCTGACCAAGGTGCTGTACAGAAAAAAATACTAAATAAAACATAAAACAGTACAGATAAAAAACAAAACAGCTAAAACATTGTTAAAACAACATTCACACAATCAAATCAATAAAATTGGGTAAAAGATAAAAGGAATAGAAGATAAGAATGATAAAACAATAAAATAAAACCCAATGTCTTGCTAGGTGTTAAAAGCCAAAGAGAAAAGGTGGGTTTTGACAATGCTGGCGTACCATAAAGAAGAAATTATGAACAGTTTAGTTTGTGCCTTCAACTCGTTGCCCATAGGAAGACGTTACTTGGATATAACAAAACCGTATATCTTCAGAACAGCTCCAAATGATGAGTGTGGGTGAGTAGAACATGATGTAATAACGTAAAATCAAGAGCCCAATGTAAAACAAAAAATGGCGTTCCCCTTTAATACTTGAAAAGAAGCTTGTAGTTTGTCCTTTTTCCATTTGGGCTCAGCTTTACAGCATCCAAGTCTGACAACAGGAGATATGTTATTCAAACCGAGCTCTGATCTTCTTTTATCTAATTAATTGTTAATGGAGCCAAAGTATCTAATCTGGCTAGTTTTGCAGACAGAGTGAAACCATTAGCTGAGTTCCACTGTACTATGCACAGACTCAGGAATAATGGAGTAATGAGTGAAAGCTGCAGAAAACTGAGCAGCAGTGGACAGCCCCAAGTAGCAGCGACAGATTTAACTGGAATATAGGAAAGAGCAACCTCAAATAGTACAGGCATATGATCAGAAAATACCTTTGAACAAATCTCTTAGTTAAGATTGGGCAGATTGTATGATTTAACAAGATTGAGTGTGTGTCTTCGCTCATGTTTTGGTCAAGTCACAAACTGTACAAGATTAAAAGAATCAATGACATTTAAAAGTCTTTAGCCATCGGCTTGTCAGGACAACAGACATGTAAATTAAAATCCCCTACAATAAGAACGCAGTCATATTTGTGCATGATTACAACCTAGGTAATCAGAAAATGTATTTAAAAAGTCCACATTGTATTTAGAAGGTTGGTATATCACAGCACACAATATGGTGTGAGAGCTAAACATCTCAAACACAGTTCAAAACACCCAGCCATGTCTTGGTCACACAGAGAATATCCAATCTTCAGGATAAGAAGAAATCTTTTAGGTCTTGTTTGCTAGCAATGTGGCATTCACCAGGCTGATCTTGGTGAGCAGCAGCAGTCCGCAGGTTGTGGTGATTCAACCCACGCCAGTGGTGAAGAGGAGAGCAGGGGACTCCCTCGCTGATGTTGACAGTTGATAGCCATGAGTCCAGACGGTCCAGAAAGTGCCGGAAAATGGAAAGGCATGGCACAGCTTTAAACTCGATCCTGGAAGCTGAGGGAAAAGCTACTGTATAAGTCAAGCCTTCACCTTCACCAACTGACCGCTAAATTTTCCTATCGGCAGGAATCTCTATGCCAAGCAGGTAGAACCGCAGTGCTGCAGTTATGGGATTTGACCACTTTCTCCCAGATTAAATATACATTTAAACAAGTGCTTATAACACAGGAACAGCATGGTAGAAGACTTGAGGGTTTTAGAAACCATGACTTTCTTTTATACATATACATATAAAACATACATACATTTTTCAACCCATCAGAAAAGTGAAAAACCATTGACACAGAAAACACACAATTACTTATCAGAAATAAAGTGCTTTAAAAATGTATACCATGTAATTTTAAGAATAACAAGCCAACAGATCCTGAGTCTCAACAAAAATATTTCTGTTACAAGTTTTACAATTGCTCTATTTTTTAGGTTGTCTCTGGTTTTGTCAATAATCCCTTCTGACATTCACACCTTATACTATTCCTTGTTGTTTCAGAAGAAGCCATTGATAGATAAAAGATGGTGTTAATAACCACGCAGAGAGGAAAAACAATGACAGCAGCATTTAAAAAGATAGGGGTTGACAGGGAAATAATTGCAGACACAGTTGCAATTGCGGACTTACAGGCTGTTAGTGCTGAGAAATATAATAATCGCAAAAAATCAACACACAAAATGAACACTGGCCTCATTTTTCAAAAAATGAAAGACCCTTATTCAGGCAGAGGTGAAGGAGACAGGGAAGGTTCTTAAGATATATTCAAGATGATAGACATAGCTAAGCACAAGAATGAAAAAAATAATTTTGTCTTTCATCAAAAAATTTTAAAATAGAGAGAATCCAATGAAATCAGTAATCGCTGACTAACAACTTTCCGTCCATGACAAGCTGGGACTTCACTGCTGCAAGGTTTATTCAAAAACCACATGGAGAATATTTCCTCTGTTTGTTTGGTAACTAACCTTTATTCCCCTAATAATGATTGGCCCTGTGTTCCCTAGTAAGAACAGCTTAATAAAGCTGAGCAGTGTCTTCCCCTGGTAAGTAATGATTAACAACTCAGAAATTCCTGATTATTTCATCTGTTGTTTTCATGATAACTAGCAATTATCTGGTCTGGTCAATTTTACTGATAAATGATCACCAGTCCTCTAATAAGGCTTGGAAGTTTTCTCCCCCATTAAGTACTGAATAACATGACTGGGGTGTGTTTTTCCCAGACTGGATTGTTACTAAAGTTGGACAGTGTTTTCCCCAGGAACTACTGGTTAACTACTCATCAATTCCTTATTTATTCCTTTTTTGTTACCTTGATAACTACCAATTTGTTTCTGATTCATTCCTTTTTGTGTCTCGTCTAACTGACATGTATTTCCATAATGAGACTAAGCTGTGTCTTCCCCAGTGAGTAATGGTTAGTTACCAATTAGTTCCTGATTAGTTCCAAAGAAGTTTGCAAGTAGTTAGTCCAAATTTTGTCATGTAGTTATTAGGCAATCAGATGCAGCATGATAAAAACAAATAAAATAATTAAACTTTTTAGGGATTTACTTACAGCTGTTGTATCACAGTTGTAAGGTGTTGTAAGGTGTGGTATCATAAGGTGTATCACAGTCAGTTTTTTCTCAAGTAGACTAAACACGCAAACAAATTACCAAGCATTATGTAGGTAATGCAAATCCTGGGGCTTTGAATCCCAGGGCTTTTAGTGAAAAAGGGGCTAATGTTAGTCTAGAATATATATTTTTTATCCCACACACATCACAAATGTAACACCTTTGTTAGCTGTGTATTATCCAAAAATCGGTTTACCGAACCCTCATATACCGGTTATTTAGCCAAATAAGTTAATAACAGTGTAATGTTTTTATTTGCACTAGGGATTTCCTATCCTGAGGTCTTTTTTTTCTTTTCCAGATACTGTACTGACTCATTAAAGGAATAGTACACCCAAAACATGATTAGCCTTCATTTTCAACTCACCCCCATGCTGAACAACACTCTGGAGTACTTTTTTGATATCTCAAATGCATCTGGAGATCTGGGAGGCTTCTTGCTGTCTGCTGACATCCAAATAATGGAGGTCTATGGCGCCCGAGACAGAAAGGTCAATAAAAGTCACAAAAAACGTGTCAATA